AATGCCTGCTGCATATTGATACTGATAGGAATTAACAGTTTTTGGTCTTCTGGCCCATTTATATTGTGCTGACGTCACATTTGCTCTTTTTATCCACTTACCTGGGCATGTAAGAATTCGTCCTGTTTAAGGGAACTCCTGTTACTGTGTCACTGATTTAATCCTGTGTGTATCATTTATTTTACATTATTTTGCTGATGATTATGGAGTATGGTACTTCTTACAACAATGGAAAATGTCAATAATACTTACTTTACTTTTAGGATAAAGATGGAAAACCAATATTGCCAAAGCCTGAAGAAAAACCTAAGGTTAGAAAACTGACAATATTGTAGAAGTGTGAATAGACACCCTGTTTTCTCCCTCTCTGTCATCACTTCTGTCTGTGTCATTATGTCTCTTTGTCTGCTTGTGTGTTTACTTCCTTGCACAAAACCTGCTGATCTGACATGTCAAGTGAAAGTTGGTTTTACTAAAATTCACTGCCTTTGAACGAAGAGCTCATGGTATGAAAAAGGTTTAGAGATTGCGAAGATCTGAGACAGTTACAGAAGAGACTGCTGACATAAAAACTGTATGGGGAGTTACCGAAAGGTATTCTCTAGACGTCTGTTGGAGGACAGAGAGAGAGAGACGAGGCAGGAAAATCTTTTGTTTTCTTGACAGTTTTGTCTCATTAGTCATCAAGTATAAGGGAACACGACTGGAAAGAAGGAAAAAGATGCCGTGAGCGTTCTCCTAATCACAAAGAACAACTTGGACTTTGCAAAAAGTATCCATTGTGACCTAGAAAGTGCAAGATAGGTTGAAAAGATTGAAAGCAAAGGTTACAAAGGTTAATTGGAAATGCACAGGAGGAAGGCAAAAATTAAGCAAAGCAAAGGAACTGTGCACCGAAGAAAACTGAGGGCTTCACTTGGAAACGCTGTGAGTTGAGGAGTGCTGCGAAAAGTTGGAAAAGAGCAGGTGACCTCTGTTCTTCTGAAAAGACTGTGAGGATCAGGACTGATCTGAACGAGAATGACACTGTGCCTTTTTAGCAGAAGTGTGGAGTCATTTGTATTATTCAAGCTTGAAATAGGGAAGAAGGGAAAGGCAGTGACGAAAAGACTTTAATATCTCTCTAAATTTTCATGTCAGGTCTTAGACATGCAGTCGTCTTGAGTGGGTGATACCTGAAGGCTGCACAGAAGGAACACCTGCTGAGCATGTCATAAGTAAAAAAAGGGAGAGCAGGTATGCTCTGAGGGAACCGGCCACTAAGGTTAGGAGACAAGCCTTCTTCCTGTTTCACAGGGTACACAAAAGAGGTGGCATACAAAAAAAAGAGAAGAATTCTGGAAGGGGAATGTGGCATGAGTTAAAGGAGGCTGGTGCATAGTTTGACTGAAGTTCAGTACAAAACCGAAGCAGAAGATGAGCTCAGAATCATGAGGTCTTATGCCACAAGAATTAAGTGGTTAGCAGAAGAATAAGTGTTCCTGTGCTCTCTCACCTCTATCAATCAGAGACACAAGTACAATTGAATAGTTGTTCTGGAAGTGAATCACAGGGGTATGGAAGTCGTGTTGCAGTATTTTTCTCAGCACCACTTCACTGTTTATGATTTGAAGAAGGCGACTTTGGGCAAGATGTGTTTGCCAGTATTCCTGTGGTATCATCAGTAAGTTAGGCCTGTGAAACCAAAACCAGCAAAACAAAAAATTTGTGTCAATAGCTGAAAAACCTTCAATCACTTACAGTTCTTCCTTGATTCCTGGTGAATGCAAACCTCTTCTTCCTTCCTGATTTTGATTTAATGGTTGAAAGAGGAATTCAGTCATTAAGAAAAGTGAGGCCTTATGTGATGAGACATTTTATAAAGACTGATCGACCAAGAGAGGAAAGTGGAAAGGAAAATAAGAGTCTCTTCCTTAGAAATGTCATTTAATGCATTATGAATTTGACCAAATGAACCTTAACCAATTAAGTTCCATGTAACAAGTGAGTGATGATCACTGCTAGCAAAGATTTGAACATTTAGGTGTAAACAGTGGTTTGAAGGATCCCAGGAGCATTTGTAGTAGATCATAGAAGTACACAGATCACATTGTACTAGGTAGCATCCACAGATTATAATAGATCACACGGTAGGGAGCTCAACTGCTGTTTATTCAGTTTTCTGTAAAACCTGCAGTGAAAACCACTGAGTGTCAGCAGTCAGTGCACAACCTAAGAGAACTTCCAGGTGACTCTGCCTCTGAGGGAGCTCTCCTTCTGCTGGAAAAAAAGAACAAAAAGTCAAAATGGGAGAATCATAATCTGATAGCGCGGCTTTCCACTACCTTTATGTAATTTGTACTTCAAGTATTATAACAACATGATGCTGTTGTAGTAAATACTATCTAGTAAATAATAGAGGGTTGTTTTTTTTCTAATTAAGAGGTTACATTTTCCTTTTCAGTAGCCCTGTAAGCAGTATTGAACATAATGTTCTCTACATTATATTGACTTTTGATAACAAAGCAACTGACTCATTCAGAAAAGGGGTTTTCTTAATTTTATGTACTGTGAAATTCATGCTGGCTTATGGCACTTAATGCAAAAGGTTATTTTGATATAGGCCACAAAAGTTTTTCTGCTCGCTGAGTAGTTGAAACATAATTCTTAAAAAAAATAAAAACGGGCAGTGAGTCACATGTACCCCACTTGTCTTTTTTGCAGCCTTTGAGTGAATCTGATCTTGTCGATGAATTTTCCAAAGACTTCGCCTGCCCTGCACAGCCTGCAGTACAATCCAAACCATTGAAGCCCAGCAGCACATCCAAAGTATGTTTTTCTAGTTCACTGAAGATGCTGACACTGATAGTTTTGCCAAGACTGGATGGTGCTACTATTCTTTCAAGAAAAATATTTTCTTCTGTTTCTGCTTTTCCCCTGTTACCTTCAGTGGAAGGTGCAGTATTGCGACTTAGTCCTTAATTGAGAGGCTTCTACCTTTAAATTTTAGACTGACTCCTTCCTTCCTTCCTTCCTTCCTTCC